CAGTTATCGCAGTTTCTCAACCTGTTGCCCATAGTGCACATACAGCTAACATCTGAAAATGAACAACCATGTAATTTTCCTTAGTGTAATTTTATTGCCATAGGAACCAGGAGGCAGACAAGAGAAAGCTTTAGGAAAGTGCAATGGCACCCATTATTTGTGGTTTATGCTGTGTAGTCATCCACAGGAAGTTGTCAATTAGCTCGAGTCCTCTTCCCTTGTTTTAGCATTAGCTTGTGTGATGCTTGAAAAGGTAATAATCTGCATCAAAGAGGTTCTGTTCTTTTATTTACTGGTCTTTATACTAACAGTTGCATCAACATCACGTTCAGCAGTTTGAACTCTCAGGAATTTCCTCATGCATACAACAAAGATTTAAACCTACTGGCTCTACAGTAACAGCTTTTAACTATCTTGGCTACACAGCAATTAGACTGTGGCTAAATACATAGGGATACCAGAAGCTTTAAGTGTAGTTTAATACAGCATCAAGCAGCATGTTTACTGCTGCCCACAGAAGCAGGGTAGTACATGTGGATTTTCAAGTGCAGCCCATTTTTTAAAGTAATTGTGTTAAAAATTTCAGCTTGATGTGATGTCAAATTCTTTGCCTCCGAAGATGCTGTCACTAGTGAATAAATGAAAAAACAATTTAAATTCTATTATTCTTTACCTCAGTAACATAGTGGCTTACCATAGACTTGGAAAATTAAAAGTCCCTTGAAGTGTGTCTCTGTGTGTGTGGGAGGGAAGGGGACTTACTTGTTTTGTCCTTGTTAAAATCCTATTGTAGCTGCAATGTAGAAATGGGCTAATACAGGTCACACTGAATTGCAATGATGTCCCTATTCACATGTCCATCTGGCACCGTGGAGATCATTATTGCCATCCCAGTATCTCACCTGCAAAAGCTCTGACCCGGCGTGCCTGTGGGTGAACCGTGTTGGCCAGTTCTGGAAAGTGTAAGCCCTTTCAAGAAAGAAAGGAGGGAGTCCCAGATTCTGTTGAATTTGCAAACTGCCATCACAACTTGAACCACAACTGATACATTAATGAAATTAATGCAACTTATTATCTTTCTTTTATAGGGAAAAAAGGCATAACTTTAATACATTCTCCACAATCCTGTCACGGTTACCTGGAAAAAATGAATACTCAGAATTAAGCAATTTGAAGAATTAATTTCAATATGTGAAAATTAGGTCCCTGGTAGAATTTGAAGGTGTAACTTTTTCACTGTCAAAAAAATAATACTGACATCCAATGAACAGTATAGCCTAGAGATTTCTTTGTAGAGAGCAGGTCAAATGGTGAGCTGATGGTTTTAACTGAAGTTCATGTCATGGAAAGCCTTGAAGTTATGGTAACAAGCCAGTGCTTCTCCAGAAGAAAAAGAATAAGACAGAACTCACATTCTGCGAGACTGTGGAAAAATTTGAGGCTGCGTAAGAATTCCTCTTTCACGTGTAAGGTTACTTTTAAGAAAAACCTTTTTCTGTCTTTTTAGGGAGTGGGATGGTATTTTTTTTCAGCTCTTTGTTAAAGCCCCATTCTATCTCCAATCCGGAAATCAGCTAATAGAAGTATGTCCATCTGGCCCTACACAGACCACAGTTTGTAGCTCAGCATCTGAACTGCTTAATTTTTATCCTGTTAAAGGGGGACAGAGAAGCTCTTATTTTAATAGCAGTGGTGTCAGCAGTACTAGAAATTTTACTCTGGAACTGTACTGGTATGACCCCTTTTAGCCACAAAGTTATGTTCTTGAATACAAATGTTTACATTAATAGTTCAGAACAGCAACGTGCAACAGCCACAGATCAATGAACAAAGGCCCGTGGAATTCACCTGTGATTTTACTGCAGAAGACACTGATGAAATTTAAAATTCAGGACATGCACTAAGCAAACCCCCAATATGGTTACGGTTTGAAACCCACACAGAGCTGGTGAAGCAAAATGAAGGATTACTATTTGGCTCAACACACCTCCTGGGCCCCACTGCTCTGGAATGGCAAGGGTAGAGGTAACCTCTAGGAGAGGAAGGGTACCTTGATGGCCTGGTCTCGCACCAAGCATCTGCACAACTGTCTCTAGCCCTAGTCAAAGGTTTCCTAGTGTCATCAAGGAAGCAATGGGGATGAGACAAAGCTCTTTTTGCCAGATCTAAAATGCCTTAAAGGGAAGGCCTAGGTGTGAGGTCTAACGCTCCAGAGCTAGTAATTTTGTAAAAGTAAATTCAGAAGCTGAGGTTGAGAGTGTTCTTAAATTCCAAGTCAGCAAAGCACACATTTCAGTGAAAATGGCAGAAAATGAAAATGACTCACTTTGTGCCTAGTTATATACAGATGAAAAGTTACTTTAGGCAAAAAAATTGGATTCTGAATTAATGACTGAGTGCTGGAACTGTACTACTGCTGGGCATAACAGTGATTTCTTTCATTTCTTGTGCTATAAAAAGTTGTTTGAGACATCTCAAATGATAAAAAATTTTATCTAGTTACCTATATCAATTGGTACACAAGTTTCTGAAAGCCTGAGACATGAAAATCATTATATGATTCTTCACCAATCAGTGTAGGCAGTCCTCCCTTTTTTCCCCAGTTCCAAGGAGCTAGGAGGAAGGCAAGCACCAAGATTTGGGGAAAGGAGAACAGTCTTTACTCTTGAGAGTTTTGGAAAATGTTGTAAGAACAAGTTTAATTAATTTGCAAGACAGTCTTGGCTCATATGTGAACTTGAATTCAGAGCAATAGCTAGGCAGAGCAGTTAACTGCAGTGTTGGAAAAAAGCACTGACAGACTAAGGGATGATACAATTTTCAAACTGTAACATTAGATACTTACACATCTCAGTTGCATGAGTGAATCCTCTGACTTCAGTGATATTACTCAGAAGCACAACTTGAAGCCCAAACTGACTATGAAAAAATTTTCTATAGAAGGAAGCTCAACAGCTGCTTGTAGAATTTCCATATAATTAATGCATGTTTCAAATGCTCCCCCTCAGATGTCTAATTACACAATTTATATAAACTGAAGACCACATAAAGATACCCTTAACAGGAAAAGAAAAACAACCTGACTACAAAAGTAGTTATCCATTCTGCTCCCCAGAAGCATTTTCCCTGGCAAGTGTTCCCAGCTCTGATATTAGGAAAATGCTACATCTCAATGCATTATTGCTAATTCTAAAGAGGAGCTTGATATGAACTTTTAAAATCCCATTTTAATTGTAATTTCAATATTCTAAATTATTTAACAGTTTCAATATAAAATAGTGTGTATTAAGTGCCAGAGAAGAACGAATATTCCATATTATAAAGCTGCAATGGAACCTCAAACCCGAACTTAGAACTATTCTAGTACAACTTGGGGTAACTACCCACCCAGTGTGTTGCTGCATTACACATGTATTCATCTAATTTATGTTACTGTGATATCAGCACAGCGTAGTAGCGATGCAGTTCAATGTTAAATACGGGAGCTGTATTAATTTTTGCTGGAAGAATTAGTCAAGAGTTATACAACTCCTTTACAACAACTGAATAGAAAGTCAAACAGACTTGATGGAGAAACACAATGCAAGCAGAACAGAATGGAAAAGTATACCCATCCAAACTTCTGAAAAAGGAGCTAAATTACTTACCTTAAAATCTAAGAAGTCTGTTGAAGAAAGAGCAATGCCCATATTCTTAGTACATTAGTTCATTACAGAAGAATCCTTTCATTAACAAGACATAGCCACTATTTTGTTTCATGGGCTCATGAAGAAAGGATGCATTTGTGCTTTACTTTTTATCATCAAATGCTATTTCCAGAGTCATACTGTTACTATGAAGTAGCTTCATTAATAAATGAGGAAGTGATATATTTTCTCTCTGTTAGAAACATGTGGGGAAAAAGAATGTTTGCCATATGGTAAAAAGGAAAAAAACCTGGTGAGGAAGTAAGTGCTTAAGCTTCTTGGGTATCGCAGCACAAAAGGCAAAGCTTAAATTGGCTTTAAGTACATTATATTTATAGTTCTGAACATGTGTTCATGCATTTTACAGCTATTCAACAATGACATTTAAAAATTTTACTGTAATTGCAGAATTTCTCCTAGAAGCCAGAAAGGTGAATAATTTTTAAGTTTTTGGTGTGGTTTCTTGACCAAGTGATTGGAGTCTTTAGCAGTGTGATATAATTGTTGGATCATATCCTGAAGTGTACTGGAGCAGCAGCTTAACAGATGCCATTGTAGAAGGTCTGCATTGATTAAACAGTGCTTCAAGAATATTTCCTCAAGTCTTTCTGGAACATTTATCTTCACTGATGTCTGACACCTGGTTCCAGGAGTTAAGAATTATTACCAGAGGAGGCTGGCTTTGATCCCTGAGCCAACTGCAAAGCCAAAGTGGCAAAATGTACCTTTGCAATGTGCAAAGGCAGCTGATACTGCCTACTGTGTAAGCAGTCCCACCTCTTAACAGACTCCCTTCTGTCAGGAATCCTTTACCTTTCCTTTCTCCTTTCCAAACCCAGACTTTTCTCATATCTAACTGTGAACACATCAGAGCTTTAGTGTCTTGAATAAAATCATATTTGTTTCTCCAAGATCACCAAACATTGCAAAAAATAAATTGCATTCAATCACATGGGAAATAGCAATAAAAAAAAAGGTGACTTGGTTAAGCGGACTACAACTTTTTTTTTTTTTGTGAGCTTTACAGCAGCCTGACAGGGTTTTAAAAAAAAAAAAAAAAAGAAAGAAAACTTTATACTTCACTTTTCACAATTGACATCAATTAACTGATGTATAAATTCTAAAGACTATCTGCAACTTGTCATCTCAGTTTTGCTGGTACCTATTACAGATAATGATACTGACAGCTGCCATTTAAGGCACAGTTCTTTTGATTCTGGGATGAAGATGTAACCATCCTTGATATCCAGAAGGCATTATATTCTCAGTTCTCTGAGCAGCCTTTTTGGATATAATACTAAAACAACAGGGTCAGCAGGGGGAAAACAGAGGTGATGTACTTTAGATGCATGAATCTTCCATGTAAAGACAAGGTCTAAAAAACCAACTCCTTGTTTTCCACTTCAGTATAAAAATATAGCATGCACACACACAAAACAGTTCTCCTGGCAATGATTCCTGCCATAAGTAAAAATAAAAAAAAATTGGAAAATATTGTACAGATTAAAAAAAAAAGCTATGCATGTACTAATGTCAACAGTATAACAAAACCTCTATTCTAACAGGTGGACTCACAGAGAACATTTCCAGTTATTTTATCTTATGTTTTATGTACTCCTTAGACTTAAACTGCCACTGCACAGACTTGTTACTAGAATCCAAAAATGTCTAATATTGATTCAACTATATTTTTTTAAACACAGAAGCAAATGATTACAGAATTCAGTTTGTGACTCAAGAGTTGGTTCAACAAATTAAACTTTCCAAAAGCAATACATTTGTTTCCTGAGATGGCTAAAAGTCACGTTTCAACTTCATGTTACACTGCAATTAACAAAAATCACTATGCACAAAACCACAGGTTAACTACAGCATACAAGCACATTTACAGAAGTCACCTAATTTCAATAGTACTATTTGTCTTAATGTGTACACCTTAACAAGAGTCCAAAAATATTCTTTATACATTACAAAACAAGAATTTACAAAACTTTATTTTATTTCCAAGTTACTTCATTCTAAAAATGTTGAAACATAAAGTACTTCCTAAAGTACTTTACAATAAAAGGCTAACAATCTGGCATGGAGGAGGTAAGTATATGGAAACCTATTTTAACAGTCACATATCAGTCGCTGGTGATTAAAGAACACTTTGTTCTTCAAAGCTGGTAGGCACTTCCACATAGCCAGAAATGTAAGGTTTCCTACCACTCCTTTTCTGTCCCATACATAAAAATATCCAATGCAATAAAAAAAAAGTAGGATAGAAGGGTGGACATATGTTCAAATAAAAGCATTATCTAAGGTCTTGATTACTGTTCGTCTTGTGTAAGTGTTAAGATTTTGTCCCAAAGTTTTCCTGACAAGATGGAGTTATTTGGCCTTTAAAAGTGTTAGCTGAAATACCTCCCTTTTTTACCAGTACATGTTGTTTGCTCACTGCTGTATTGCTGGTTTATGTCTGTAACAGAAACTGGCTCTAGGCCAGCCCATGGGTCCTCAAGCATTGAAGGTCTGTAATAGTTTTCCACATCATTAGACACTCTTTTCTCTCTGCCATGCGCTGTACCAAATGGAGTAGATGTCCTGGGTGATCCCTTTGGAAGAAAACCATCAAGTAAAGAAACATTCAATAGACTAATTCAAACTTAAAAAAAAAAAAAAAAGTTTCTTTCTACCACAGTAGAGCTTTGAAGCTGATTATTAATGATCATTACTATGCCTCACTTGCATCTTTCTCAGAAAATATTAACTTTATTATTCTTTTAATGACAGCTGATGCTTTATCAAAATAAGAAAAAAGCCCCACAACAGACTTCTCCGAAATACTTGTTCACATCACTCTGGCACACAGCTACAGAAAAGCTCCTCATGCTGTTCTTCATAAGCTGCCTAAGTCAACGATATGTCTAACAAAAGCTGAATAACAAAACAGGGAGTTACAGGCTGAGGAAGAGCTGACAATATTAACAAGAGCAGAAGTCATATATTAAGTACTTACTGATTGACCACAGTGTTGTTTAACGCAAATAGCTACAAATGACCCAAAGAACTCATTGAGAAAAAAACATATTTCATTCAAACCAGTATTCTGTGAAATTTGAGAACAGATGGTTTTATTTTATGTACAATCTGAATGGTAATCAGTGATTAAGCAGATACTGACTTTCGCATGGAACTTTTGATTTTTTTTTTTAAGATCAAGGATCACTACAATTGCTTGTGTAAAGCTGCTACAAGTCTGCAACTTAAAGAGAGCTATGACATAAAGGAATGCCTATAACCATTTTCTCCTGTTAGCATCATCCATTGTTCTTCTCTTCAGATTCACTTCCCTAAAAAGTGAGGTTTTGTTTAAAGCTGTATTAATTTAATTAATTTTGTTTTTACCAAAGTTAAACAACGCATATTACAGGTACACAATAGTCTCCAAACATGCCCATTGCATTCTGTATGATTAGAACAACAGGACTCCTCGAGGCTGTATCAAACTTTGTGAAGAACGGTAAAAACCCATGATTATGGGCTGCTTCCCCCTCCTACCCCTCCCAATCCCTGACTTTTTGGACCAGCAGTGATGGTATTTGAATTTGACTAATAAGCCCTTACAGAATCTACATAAATAGATCACATGAAACAATTTTTGGGTAAAACTGAGAAATGGTGCTGTACAGTGAAGCCCCCGGTGTTTAGCCAGAAGAATAGATTTCCCTCAAACAGCTTGAACCTATTTCTGCTCATGTGCTGTGGTAGGAACATGTTAATTTGGTTCCAGCAAGAACTCTTCTAGAACTCCTAAAGCTTGATGGCAATGCATACATGACCAAATGTGGGAATACCCATGTCTTATTATATAATACAGGGCAAGAAGAATTACTTTATTGCATCAAACCCTACAAGGATCAGAGAGAATCACCTCAGACTACATCTAAAAAACTTTCTAAGGGACATGGAATTTTCTAAAGTTGATATGCACTAGCAAAAGTGACATTTACGTTAAGCCCTCACATTTAGTAGTAAAGCAGTAGTACACAGGGCATTCTGTCTGAAAAAAAACCACAAAACTTTACCATCTCTAAAACAGCATATTTAAGGAAGACCTAGTAACTTTGACATTGTCTAACAGTTTGAGTGTGGAGCTTATTTAATGCTATATCTGATCTGCAGAACACAAAGCTCACCTGACATAATGATCTGCAGTATTCAGTGAAGGAACAAAATAATCCAATGGTAAGGCTCATTTGTATGGCTTTATTTAATAATATTAAATTTCACTACAATATATGCAGGCCATCAGTAACACTGACATTTTTAGCATGTTTGAAATCTAGGAAATGTATTATTATATAATACAAGATTGAGAGACTTTAGTAAGTGTTAACTTTAAGCATGTAGATTATTTAAGTCTAGAATGCTAGTCAACATATGCTTTTTACCCCTCTGTATTTTTTTAGGCCCGTGGAAAAGGGAAATTGCCCTACCTGTAGAAATTAAACCATTCTGTGCAAGAGACACTGTTTGACGCCAAAGATACCTTAAAAAAAACTTTCTATTTTGCTGTCACTGATGCCAACGGCCTTTTCTCACTTAACTTTCCTTAAAGAAACAGTCAATTTGTTCTCAATACTTTTTCTCCAGATATAAAGAGATATAAATTTCTACTCTCTAGAGTAGAAAACAACATCTTTTAGTGCTACTTACTAACACCTTACTGAGCTGAGTAACACTGCCTTGAAAATGGGGACAGTTACTCCCTTTATCAGTTTTCTTCATCTAATGTCATTACAGCTGCTGGCATACACAGAAAACATGAAAATCACAACTGTACCATTTCAAAAGGTTGGGGTTTGGTTTTTTTTTTCACTTTCTGTAATAATCTTTGATCCACACCCCTAACAAGCTACTGCTACCAGCTAGTTCACTAATTCCTGCTGAGTGTAGAAAAGGAAACATTACCACTAAGTGAATTCTAAGAGTAGATACTCAAGAATTACAACAACGCAGAATCACAGAATGGTTTGGGTTGGAAGGGACCTTAAAGATCATCTAGTTCCAACCCTCCCTCAGAGGGCAGGTACACCTTCCACTAGTCTAGGTTGCTCAAAGCCCCATCCAGCCTGGCCTTGAACACTTCCAGGGATGGGGCATCCACAACTTCTCTGGGCAACCTGTTCCAGTGTCTCGTCACCCTCACAGTAAAGAACTTCTTCCTAATATCCAATGTAAATCCATTCTCTTTCAGTTTAAAGCCATTCCTCCTTGTCCTGTCACTACAGGCCCTTGTTTTCATGACCATGTTTTCATAACAGATAAAGCAGATGCATGTCTGTGGAAAGACCAGAAAGTGCTGTAAACTATTGGCCACATAAAGGTTGTCACCCATTTCAGAAAAAACAAGCTCTCTATGTTTTTCTTTGTGTTTTCTGCTCATTTCAAAAAATGAATGTCTGCAAGCACAAAATGAGTACAGAATGCCAATGACATGACATTAATGGAACACTGAAGTAAATATAAACTGTCTTTTGGATTTTCTGATGAGATTTTAAAGGACCACTTAAGACTTCCTTCTCAAAAGTGACCACAGCATCACAGATTTCAAAAGCACTTTAGTTCTCTTAACATGAGCACCTACAGAAGAGAGGGGGACAATACACATGGCTCACAAAGAAATCTGATGCTTCGAAAATGCAAAAAGGCCTTCTACCTGAATCTATTCACGGCCTCATGGAGAGATTCTTGTCCACACCAAAGAAAATGGGGACTTGGGGTTTATGAGACTTCCTCCCTCTGTGATTGCCTCCAGTGCCCTCCCCCCCCCCCTGAAAAACAGCCCTTGTGGATTCTCATAAAAGCAGACAGACATTACTTCAGCCCTAAGCAGAGCTACAGACATACAATATCCTTTGAGTCTTTCAAAGCATCACCATCAGGCCAATGCTCCTAAACTACTCACAAAGTCTACAGAAGGAAAGGGGAGAAGGGAAAATGCTGTGACAAGCTGAGACTGGATTCAGACTTCTACCTTCTTTATATTGGGTTTCTTACATCATGAATGAGCCTATGGGACAGTTCCTGTCCACGGGTCCTGACAAGAAACAGTTCTGACTAAAACTAGGGACAAAAGGATTCCTGCATATTCTTCTGCTCAATTAGTTTAAGGTAGGCTTTGAAAAAGCCACTTAATTGAACAGCCAAAGAGTGATCTTTTGAAGGGAAATTAGACGTCGATGACATAAACTGTCCCTCCAGAATCTGCAGCAGAAATGCCACATCCTTGGCCTTTTCCACAGGTACAGAGGTTAAGCCATGTATTGGCTTTCACACCAGGAGAGTCTTTGCTGTTGTGTTGAAGAATATGTACAAAGCTCAGAATGATCCCTTTCCACCAACTATGAGATTCCTAACTGCATCACAAAAAAGTAACAAAGTACTATTTCTGAATGGAAATATGACAATGCAGTGCAGACACGTTAACATTTTACTAATCTCTATTAAGATTTGACTTCATTATCACACTCTAATCCCTGAAGTGTCAGTAAGAACACCTACAAAATTTATCATTGCTTGTACTGCACGTGCCATTTGTTGGACTTTTAAAGCTTCTCTAATAATGCATAAAGCCAGTTATGTACACAAAGTTGGTATCATCCCTATGTGCATTGCCAGTCACATGCCACAACTAACCCACCTGGAAAAAAAGCAAAACCCGAAGAACCCGTTGGGAATGACTGTCAGGAAAACTACTTTATACAAACAGAAGCTTTCAGTGTCCAATGCAAAGACTTCAAAATGATAGTCTATTATCCCAACAGGTGCTCTAATTTCTGCTTAAAGGAGCCTCAGCTTAATTCTCTTTAATAAGCACTCCTGTTCTCTAGCCGTGTCCCAGAAAGCTCTGGGTGTGGACAGGGTGTGGATAAGGAAGCTCCCATGATGTAACAATACAGGCAAACTAAAAGCACATAGTGCTTTACCATTGCATCGAAGAAAACTCATCAAAGGGAGGCATGTACAGGAAAAAGAGGCGTTTGCTGCAGTTTTGGGCGGTGCTTAATTCTCTCTGTACCTTCACGTGCCACAATATGAAACAGAAAAGTTGCACTTTCATCAGCCCTTGTGTCTTCACAACACGCCAGGCCCGGGGCCTCTTCCCTTTCCTCATCTTACAGCTGCCTGAGCTGTGCTCTCTCCGTCCTCTCTGCTGCGGGGGGAGGGAACACTGATGTTGCCCAGTGCGGTGCAAGCGCCGCTCTTCGCTGAAAATCGTGCTGGAGCGGGTGGATGCCGCGCTCAGCGTGCTCTCCCTAGCGGGCTTTAAAGCGGCAGCAGCTCCCTCCCTCCCTCCCCGTGTCCCTCTCCGCCCTGCCCCATACCTGGAAGTGCCTCTGGAAGCCCCCGGGCGAGCGCTTGTGCTGCGACGGCAGGTGCAGGGGCGCCCCGGCCGCGGACGCGCCGCCGTAGGGAGCCGGGTACCGGGGGCTGACGCTCTGCGGCCTGCGCGGTGTCTGCGCCCCCGGCGAGGGGCTCCCGAAGCGCCCCTGGAACCCGGGCCCGCGGGGCGAGAGGCCGCCGCCGTACGGGCCAGGCCGGGGCCCGTAGGGCGGGGTGTGATGGGGGCTCCCGTAGCCCCGCGGGGAGGGCGGCAGGGGCCCTCCACCGGAGGGGGGGCTCCGGAAGCCGCCGCCCGCGTAGGGAGGTGTGGGCGCGCGGAACCCTGGCCGGTACATGGCCAGGAAGAGACAGGCCGGGAATGGCAGCGCCGGGAATGGAAGCTGCGCAATGGCAGCGCCGCCCGTACTCCTTTTCCTTCCCCACGCCTTTTCCCCGCCAGGCGGCCCGAAGGTTCCGGCCTCCAAACGTTCCGGGCCGGGGAAGGCGAGGCGCCGTCCATCCCACTTGGAAGTGGGAGAGTGGGAGTTCGGCTCGTTCAGCCTTGCATAGCGATCTGTCACGCCGACCCTGAGTAATTCTGTGCGTTTTCCAGATCAAGAGGAATATTCTGGAGTAAGAGAGTCTCAGGAGACGCGCAGAAGCCGCACCTGGTACCTCAGGCGGTGAAAGCCCTGGGTGCTGTGAGGGAACACCCGCGGTTCCACAGCTACAGTGAACAACAACGAAATGATCTGTTGTACAGCAAAGAGAGTATTTACCTCACACTGCATGGCACTTCAGATATGCTTATTTGTGCGCCTTTGTTCTGCTGTCTTATAACACCTGAGCCTGCAAATAACTAGGCGCGCTAGGGCAGTCCCAATTGACAATACGTATAGTGACGTATTTAAAGAGCACTTTAATGGAAAGGGTTTGCTTTACAGTCAGTTCGAACTGCCAGCAATTCAGTGGAGTAGTAGCTCAGGCAACGACTTACTCATACAACCTCGTGGCAAAAGGTGTTCTTGGAGGAGAACCTCATATTTAGCAGCAATTAAACAGTGTTATTACCATTCCTGCTCTGTTCTCAGGTATACTAATGCAAATCCTCAAGAACTCTGTACAAAAAAAATAACAAAGACTTTTTTTTTTATTTGTATCAACACTACTTGGTTTTAGGATATTGTCACATATGAAAATTAAAGAGGGCTTTCAGAACAGCACAGAACACAGGTTAACCATTAAAATAAGCAGAATGTTTCTGTGCTTTATATACCAGTTTTGCTTTTGTTTGGCTTTAAATAGTTGTTTGGGGTTTGCTTTGGGTTGACTTTTTTTTTCAATGGCAAGAACTAACTTTATATTCTCAGTGAACTCAGCTCTCCACTACATTATAAAATTTTCCTGTGCAAAATGAGACAATATCCTTTTAATTCTAAAAGGGAAAGAGGCTAAATCTGGTCACTTAAATTTTTTGCTAATCCTTTAGTCTAGAAGACCAATTTTCTATCTGTTACTATTGTGCATGCTTACACAATACAGTTTATCAACATAAGTTACAAATTTGTCTGATCGGTCTCATTCCAAAAAAGGACAGCTTCATTTAATTTAAACCCTCTCCACACCAAAGAAATTTAGAAATACATAGTGTTATGTACATTTTGAGTTATACTGGGATAATTCAACTGACTAATTTCCTCTTGTTGACAAATCCAAATTACTTCTAGGATTTTAAACATCTATGTCATACTTTGCATTATGCATAACATGTCCAGTCAACGAACCTGTAATGTAGAAGATCTTCTGTGTTTTTCCTCAGAATTCTGACATGCAACATTTCTTAAGCCTGTGCTATTCATAATGCTCGTGTTCAAGCTGTCAGAAGTTTCAGCTACTCTTGAGATGCAACTGTTGTCTTATCGTCACATCATATTTCTCATAAATAAATGCTAAAACTGTGTGCAGGCTTTTTTTATCCTGTTGCAGAGCAAGAAGACACTACGATGTTCTTAGCACAAGTCTTCTACTCTGTCCTAAAACAGGACTAAAAAGAGTCAGACCGTACTTCGCAGAGGGACGAATTGCTTTAACATCAATTCAAGCTAACCCTTCCACAGCCAACTGAAGATACACCTTACGGTGTAAGTAATACTGCACCTTCAGTGAAGGATTGTGATGAAGGATCCACCTGGTGCCAGTGAGCAGATATAATGGCATCCAGCGTGGCTGCCTACCTTAGTAAGTGCCGAAAACCTTTCGGGGATGGCGGGGGGGGGGGAGCAGGCATTTTACTTTTTATTCCTTCTTGGCAATGTCGCATGTCACAGTCTGTACGCCGAACTGCAAGTACAAGCTTCCAGAACAGCAGGATTCCTGCTGCAAACATCTGCAAGGCGCTTTCCTGCTTTGTAAAGTCCAGCCGGGAGCGCTTTACAGTAGAGGAGATGGGAGCGGAGCTGTCCCGCCGATGCAGTGGGCGGGACACTTTAAGGCTGCCCCGGGTGCGGGAGGGGAAGGGAAGGGGGCGGTGGCAGCGGCAGCGGTGCCTGCGCCTGCGCCGAGGCGGTCAGTGGTGGCTGCAGTGTCGGCGATGCTGCGCGCCGCGCTGGGAAGAGGGAACGGGCGTTGCGGCGGGCTCTGGAGGAACCCGTGCTCCGCAGCTGCCGGCGGCAGCGCCAGAGCCCCGAGCGCCGCCTCCGCCTCCTCTGGCAACGGCAGCGGCGGCGGGGCTCGGAGCGGAGGCGCTTCCCCGGCAGGTACCCGTGCCGTGCTGTTCCGTGCCGCGCCGCGCCCTCCTCCTGCTCCTCCTCAGCCCCCCGTCTCTCGCCGCGTTGAGCCCCCCTGCCCGAGTAATCTGCCCGTGGCCCTGGGACAGTGCGGCTGGGGGGGGGGGTCGGAGCTGCTTCCCTTTGTGGCGGGGGCAGGCGGGACGGACGCGGGACTCCTGCGGGGGCGAGCGGCGGACGGGGGCACTTAGCCACCGCGCTGGGGGCGAGCCCCTGCAGCCTCGGGGGGCTCCCAGTGGGATCACCGCGGCCAGACTTTGCCCGCGGCCGGACTTTGCCCGCGGCCGTGCGCGCTGCCGGAGGCTCCGGAGCTTTTGTGGCACGGAGCGTGTCGGCTCTCTCGGGGCAGCCTCGGCTGGTGGAGGCGGGGGAAGTGCCAGATGCCCAGTTTCAGGCCTGTTTTTTTTCCCAAAGGTTACAAAAGTCAAACTTCGTACAGTTGTGCCTTTTTTTCTCTTTTTAAATGAAGGAAAATAAATCCAAGCTGCAACAAAGTAATTCTTCTCTAACTTCACGTTTCTCTCTTATTTAGTGACATAGAAAAATAGTTGACAATAGCGTTGGTGGCATTAGAATTGAGGAAAGTTTGTATTTCTGTCTCCCACGATGAAAGTACCAAGTGTGTACATTGGAATGTACCCATTGATCATGAATTAATCCACAGTAGTGATGGACTTGATTATAACTTGCTGCATGGATAAAGTAAAAAATATTGATTGTGCAGTCAAAGTAGAGACAATAGACTTGAGGAGCTATGTCCTCTGGAATTGAATGTAATTGGAATGAGGACTGTTAATTTGCATTGATGCAAAAATGCGTTAATTGGCTCTCTTGTTGGTGCCCTTTTCTGTCACTTAAAAGTATAAAGGAAATCATTTGGGAATATGCTATAAAAATTAATTTCTCTTCTTTGTTTGTTCCTTACCTATACTGTTAGGTTAGGCTAACCTTGGGATAGCTTACTGAGCTTAACTAAAGAATGTAAATCATATCGAGAGTAAGTGGGTCGATTTATTCTTAATCGAAGTTATTTATAAAAGATACATATGATAGTCCAATTCACAGTAAATTCAAGCATCATGGAAATTGAGAGTTTACATATAGAATATAGTTATAGCAGGGAGAGTGGATTTTTCTTTCAGTCATCAAGTTACTGGAATAATTAAAAGCAAAAATACAAGAGAAAATGTGAGTTCACATTTTCAGAAAATTTAGCCTATTGAACCAGAATTCCAACAAAAAACTCAGGGAGGTACACATCCACTTTGGAAGCTAGCGAGGAAAGGAAAAAACCCACCAAAAATTAACCAAAAAAAAGCCCAGGAGATGTTTCTAGGTAATACTTATCAATTCTGATCTCTTGTGTCTGTGATATGGTTTTATTTCTTTATGTTCCTGCAATAGATAGCATTCCTGTACTCAGGATCAGTGTACTGGAACTGCTGCTTCTCTGATAGTCAAAACACTTTCTGTTTTAATTGTTTCAGCAAATTACTGACTTGCTGAAATGCAGCTCTAGGTGCTGTATATTTTCTTTGTGAGCATTTGTGATCTTCTAGTCTGAAGAAACTAACAGGTCTATTATTTTCCTCAGATTTTCCAAAGGAAACTTTTTATCTCTCCTCTTTCTTGCATTTCTTCATTATTGTGGACATCTGTTATTTATTGGCATTAAAAAAAATTCACAATGGTCTGTTTGTCTCCAAGGCAACGATTGTGCTCTCCTGTTCTGTTCCAACTATGGAAGAGGCCTAATCCCTGAATGAAGTGTTAGATGATGCCATAATATGAGTGATATGATAATTAGTTTTAGTTATACATAAATACATAATTACAGGCTAATCTTGATGTTTTATAGGCTTCTTTGAGAAATATCTTTATGGATTCCTGCAACTCAGCTCAGAATGAGAATGGGTGAGCCATTAAATAATAAAGTGCAACTCTAAAAGGCATGGAAAGAATAGAGAAGGTGGACTTTTTTTTTTTTTTAAATTGAAATTGTGTATATTTTTACTTTTGGGGAGCTGTGCTCTTCAGTAAAGCTGTTTACATATTTTTGGTAAACAGAGTAGTGTCACTGTGAAACAAATGGTGCACCTGGCTTGATAAGACTGAGGTTCTACTGGAGGGCTGGTGGTGTTTGCCTGGCACAACTGTTTTTCAACACCTGCAACTCACTGAGGTGTGCAGCACTGAAGGGAGGTGGCAGCCTGAGATTTTCCTAAAGGCTCGGAAAGTGCAAAACACATGGCCATTCCTAGATAGGCATGTTTTCACAATACTCCTTAGTCTGCATATTATATTAAAATCCAAAACTTATTAACTTGTTTAACAGAAATCTCCCTGGAGATTATTATCCTGTATTTGGGGAGGGAGATGAGGGGACAGTGGCATAAAAACAGTGTTTCAGACAACTGATGAGAAACACTCCTGAATTTTATTTTATTTTTTTTTAAGATAAAAGTCACTGTTTTCTGTTTCTTGACAGATGCTAGTAATGTAAAGCCATTGGATGGTGTGAAAATTCTTGATTTAACAAGGTTTGTGTTTTGTCTGTAATTTGGAACAGTGTGTCTAGATGCAAATATTCTGTTTGGAAAAACTAAGAAAACAATATTTCTTTAATATTACAGGGTGCTTGCAGGACCTTTTGCCACAATGAATTTGGGAGATCTAGGGGCTGAAGTTATCAAAGTGGAAAAACCAGGTAAGATTTCTATTTTAGATATAATAAGAACGTGAGCTAGCTTAACAAATAGTAGTTTATGTGTTTTAAGTAATATATGAATGACAATGCAACGTTGTCTATATAAATATTTACAAAAGTTTTCAATACTATGTTTATTTCTTGATGGTGTGCTTTTTGTGACAGTTTGTGAATGGTATTGTGCTAAGTGATAGCCGTTTTCAAGTTTGAGGAATGTTTTTTTATCGTGGTACTCTTTCTGTCATGTTAAAGAACTGGTTATTAGTAGGTTTGTTTTGCTTATACAGGTATGATCTATTTGCTTTAAGCTTAACATTGTGCTCCATGTAAGTGTGTTTTGGTCAGAAATAGTCTGTGTCTATATTTAGAAATGAGGTGAGAAGGTTGAAGTTGTAAGGTCAGGTGACTTTTTTTAGATGTTAATATTCAAAATGGTAGAGTCATCACTTACTAAGTACCTTATTGCCTTGCTCAAAGCTGAATTGATTTTGTTTGAATGGTTTGGACTTTACTTTAATTTTAAATTGGGCTTGTGAATGCTTACGTGTATGATGGGGTGTTTTATGTAACATGATAAGAAGGTTAAAACAGGGTTTTAAGTGTAGAGTTTAACGTGCAAAATTTGAGAGCACACAAGTCCTTCCAGCAATTAGTTACGTAATAGTTATGGAAAAGGTGGTTTGCCCATTTGAGAATTCGGAATCTTCATCTCAATTCCTTCTGAGCAAAAGTGTGGTAGATAATTAAAAATAGGAATACATCTGACTACTCAGCATTAGATTACTGATAAAACGACAGGTACTTTAATTTTCATTTTAGTGTTAAAGGAAGAAAGGTAATATGAGCATTTAAAATAGATATGTTGTTTCTTGGCACTGCTTTTCTGTAATAATATACAGACTTAGTGTGCTTGGCAAGAATTTTGGCTGGTAGAATACAAGGTGACCTGGCATGCTATATCAACTGTCTCCTGAGAAAAAATTTAATATTCTACTACAGTTTCAGGTTGTTAATTAAACATTACCTTGTTGGAGAAATTTTTCTTCATAATCATGCAAAGTGAACAACAGTTATTTTCTGCGTGAGGTAGTTGTATCTTTAAAGTCCAGGATCTGGTATTTCTGCGTAGAGATGAGAGTTCCCTGAAAAGGGAAATTTCTTAATTTGAATGAAGATGCTGGTGCTGAAAGCGTCAGATTAACGACCTTTGAGTTTGTGTTTTCAGATGCAGAAACTTCTGTAGCTCTTTCTGATTGGACTCTGGGTAATTTGTTTCTATTCTGTAAGGCAGGATTTCTGGAAGAGCTTCCTATAGCACTAGCTATAGGAAGTGCTTCTTTTTGTTTCTGCAGCATGAAGCTTAATCAGTTGTCTGTCAGTGGCATCTTGGAGTTGCGTCTGGAGTGTTTCAGGAATGGCTTATTGACCACATGCGCTGTGAATTGGTCCAGCAAGAGCTTCTACTAAATTCTTCCACATTGCCTAAAAGAATGGCATTGGAACTCTGCTTAAGTTAAAACAAACAAACCACCAAAAGAAACCCAACTCCTCTTTCCCTGCCACCCCCCATCCCCCAAAGAACCCCCCCAAAAAACCCCAAACAACCAAAATATCAACACACAAATAAGAAAGCAACCAAAAAACCTGCAAATACACTGGTGGTGTGTGGCTGTATTAGTATTTTAAAGACTAAATGTAATCCCAGCGCTAGCAAACACTTTGTTCACTTTGCTTAGTTACATTTGCTTTTAGGTGGTTTTTGATATAAATCAGTGAAAATATATATTTTAAACTAATATTTGTCCTGCCTGCTAGATGAAGCTTAGGTGATTTAAATGGGATGTTGGAGGAAAGCTTTTTATTCTTTTTATTTGTTGGCAGTGTGGTATTGGAAAACTATGAACCTGTGATGGTATTTCTTTCAGGAGCTGGCGATGATACAAGAGCCTGGGGCCCACCTTTTGCTGGGACGGAAAGTGTTTACTTTCTCAGTGTCAATAGAAATAAAAAGGTAAATGGAGGGTGGAATTGAACATTAGCCTAAGTTTTCTGTGACTACAACTGAATATATAAAACTTCTTAGTTGGATTCTTAACATATATATAATGGAGCAATAGTTACATTGGCCTTAAGTTATAATGAATAAATTTGAGGAGAATAACCGAGAGTGCTTTTGAACAAAAGAGTCTGCAAATCTCTAGTATGGTGCTGTGGACAGCTGAGGCAAATTCAAAAAGCAAAAGTGCTCCTTCCAGTCTTCAGTTGCTGGTGCAACTTGACTGAAAATGAAACCTGCTGACAATAAGGGTTATTTTAATTGAACGATCCTTTTTTTCAGGTGCATCAGGTCAGCTGACGTGCATCAGCTGGCACCTGGAGCTGAAGTAGTGCTGGCATTATACCACAGTGAGGTTGGCTAAAGGTAGCTTGTGAAACTTCGGAATTAACATGAAGTTTCACGATATACCTGAATTGTTTAATGGCTTGTTGCCATTGAAACAAATGTTTCTGGTGTCCCCATGTGTATTTGCAGTAGTAAGTCTTGTGCAAATATGCGGTGAAGAGACTGCATATGGTGCAGCTCCCAGCTGCACATCTGTCAGACTTGTTTTAGACCTTGTCTGATCCATTGGTGAGACAGTTCAGCTTGCTCTACTGAGAGAGTTTCTTTTTTTTTTTTTCAGAAGAAGGTGGGGGGTATATGTTATAATTTACTTATCCAAATTAACTGCAGTGTGAATTTGACTGTTGGTTATGTGTAGAAGAGGCTTATGATCACCAGAAGGGTTTTCACATAAATTACTGTTGTATTTTTTTTAATCCCCAGAGTATAGCTATCAACATGAAGGATTCAAAAGGAGCAAAGCTAATCAGAGAGGTAGGTTTTGATAGCGTGCAAAGTGTGCCTATTTTGTATTGTTGTTATCCTGAGTAATAAAGATTAAACTCTGCATTTCAAGTATTAATTTGAAGTCTGATAATTAAAAAATGTATGTACACAGTTGATTTGGTAAATTGCAGTATATAGCCTATGTGCTTTTGGACTCAATGTTCAGTGTAACTTCTAATGATTTTAGATATAAAATTTGCACAAAAATGTCATCAAAGTCATCAAATGAAATATTGTCAGGAAATGGTCTAATAGCCTATTGCTTTCCTCTTACTGCTGCTGTATTTGATCTTGCTGTAGTACTTCATTAGAAGAATTAAAGATGGACTGATCTTATGATGTCAGCGAGCAGTTGAGAAAGAGGTGATACTGTATTTGAAGTTTTTTGAGTGTTACAGTGTATTCATGACTTCAGTAGCTGTATCTCTTTCTGAGAAATATTGTCCTGTAGGTCAAACTTAGTATTTGTTTCTTTTTTAGTGTTTGACTTTAGAGTCTTTTAAAGGTGATCCATTTTTTTCTATTTAAAAATTAATAAAAGCATCCTATTTCCCATTCTGTGAAAGTTGTGCTTTGTTATCCCTTTATTATTTGTTGAGAAATATAAGACCTGCTACTTGCTAGTGCTGTGTTTTAAGCCCTGCAGTACTAACAGCTGGCTTCTGTTACTGTTTGTTTCAGTGTCAGTTCCAGTCACTTTTTCACAGTGAGACTGTCATGCATGTGTCATGCAGTGGAATTTGTCTGGTAGTATTTTCTCTTGGGAATATTGCATGAAATGGAAATAGATAGTTTTCTGATACTTGTGACTTGTTAGCTATGTAAAAGGTACTTCATATGGAAATCTTTGGAATTTATAAGTCAAGGATTCCGGAATGCCTTTTCTTTTTGCAGAACAGAACCATTTATTGTTGATTTCTTAAAAAGTTGTATGTTTATCTTCTAAAAAATTTAGAAACAGAAACTGTCATTAGGTATAATTTTTCATGGTATAACACAGACGTCTATTTGAAGTAGTCATATTCTAAGTAAGGGCTATAAAAATTGTTCCTCTGGCATAAGAAGACTAATTAGTTGCTTGACCTTTACAAATGGTGAAAGAAAAACTACTCTATGCAGTGTCCACTGATTACACATGTGTGGGCTGGAGGTGTTCAAAGAGTTAAAGGCAGCTGGGCCTGTGAGTCAGGATGAGCTGGAGATAAAACCAGTTTGTATCCTTTAATAAAGTTGCTTTAATCATCACTATAGATTTCTGTTCCTTAGATCAATGGCATCCCTATGTGATATAGCAACACTGTGAACCGATTAGGCATTATTTAAGCGTCACTCTACTTGTGGAGTTGTCCATCATTCTGCTTGATTTAGAGTGATATATTTTGAAAGCACTTGGTGCAGAGGCCTTAACATTCTATTATGCATCTCAAATGGAACTTCTGTTTGGAGTTCTGTCAAAAAGTATGTGTAAAGGGAAAGTTGGCTATCAGGCTTTTGTTTCCTGTTGCCTCCTGCTATATCAGGACAGATGTGTATAGAATTGAAATTGTTCAGTATTATATTTGTTACTACAAAAAGTAGTGTTCATGTCTGTAAAGTAACTGATGACAAGCAGAAATTCAAGTTTGTGACACTGGTTCCTCATCCATAAATATGAATTTTGTCCAAGCCTAAACACTACAAAGAAATGTAACAACGTTATAATTTTTTTTTTACTAAGAAAGGTAGCATGGTTAGAATAGATTGTATTTCCCTCTCTCAGAAATTTTACATAGGTAGATGAAGGCAAATCTCAATCTGGAATCGTGTTAAAAACAGGACTGGTGAGTCTTCAGCTGTATGACACAGCACAGACTTGATAATTCAGTCAGTAATATCAAGCGAGCTGAAGAAATCTGTTAATCAGGAGTTCTTGCTGCCTTTCATCCTTTGGCACAGCACTACAAAAGATTTTTGCAAGGGTCTGTTGTTTCATATGTGATTAGGTGATTTCCACAAAATTATTCTTGGATCTTCTTTTCTGTTTCTTTATTCTGTGTCACTTGTAGCCCTGTTTTTCTGTCTAATGTTTTTTGGCTCACTGTTAACTACCTTCCAAATATTTCTATGTCTTCCTGAATGAATATAATTTTTTTTTCTCTTCAGTGATGGTATGTGCACCAGCCCCATACTTTGGCATCTTTTTGTAGTGATATGGCTCAGTATCTCTTTAGAACATTATTCAAGAGTTATTGTCAGAAGCTCATTTTAAGAACCTTGAGGATACTTTTCTCCTGTGTATTTAGCCTTAACTAATTAACTTATCTATTCATGAAGGACTTGGGGGAATTTAATTGGCTGGGAGCTGATGGCACTTCTTCTCTTCCACTACTTTTAGCTGATGAATCAATGCATCTCATGCATGTTCTCTTACTTGATAAAGCAAGCTATTAATGCAAATACACGTATATATGTACACACACAAAAAGTATGTGTGTATATATATATGTTTATATGTGTGCGTATGCACATTCTCCTCTGTGGAGTTCTTGTGAAAACCAAATTGCCCCCCCACCAAAAACCTGTCCAAACAATGAACCAAAAAAACCCCAACAAAAACCCAAAGAAAACTTCCCAAAGGTATGTATAGTTTACTTAAACAAGTTAGTAGCATCGTTACTTGTTATTCAATATAATGACTACTTTGGCATGAGTGATGCCAGTTTTTATTTCCTGAGGCATAGATGTTAAGCATATCAGTTCCTGTCTGGAATAGATAGTATTCAAACTCAGGTCTGTGTTGTAGCGCTATGTTAGATGATGTTAAAATACAGGTGATATATTTAGAGGATTTGTAGGGCATAAAGTGTGACATTTCATTTGACAATGGACTTAAAACTCTACTAGGACTGAAAATTCCTTTGTTTTAAGAACACACGGTTTGTTTGGATCAGAGTCTGAATCCATTTTCCGCAATGGCAGAATTGTGGGTTCAGTGAGCATCAAAAGAAGTACCATACATAGAATGCTGCCTTTATGCATTAGTCTGTTTCCAAGTGCCACGAAAACTTTAGCTGTAGAGCTGATGCAGCACTTGTAGGATGTCTTGAAAATTCATTTCTCTGAGAGTATATACCCTGCTAAACTGGGCCCAAGTCATTGTATCCTCATCATTGTCATCCCATGTATGTTACCAAGTCCAGAGTTACTCATCATGTTACAGTACCGTGTGTCAGGCTTTCTTCCTCAGTGGCTTGTAGGAGATGATAGTTCTTCAGTATGAGATGGACAACAACTTTCAAACCATCTTAGCCCTTACAATCACTATAATTTGCAGACATCATAAAATCCTGCCGAAAACAATATAGTTTTTAACCAGTTTTGTCTCTCGACTGAATTAGGCTGAGGCTGTAACATTACCAGTTTAAAAAGTATTTACGTGTGAACTGTGATGAATTTAAATAGAAAATAAAACCTCCTTTAGTTTTCATAAAGGCATACTATTAAAACCTAGCAGCTTGTCCCAGTTGTATTTCCCTAATTAAGGATCTGTTTCTTATTTCATTATAGTCGTACAGGTCCTTGACATAGCCACTTTAAAAATACTTAATAACATATTTTAAAATGCACCTTTGCCATATGCCACATGTAGTTACTATAAATGTTATTAATGTCTTTTCTGTGCATCAAATTAAACCATTTATAAGTTGAGTGCTGCCTTGTCTAAATAAGAATCAGTTTCTTCTGTCTTTCCTGTTAAATATTTGCAGACTTGGCAGCTTCTTTGGCCTTAAATTTGGTTGAACAGCTGACATGCTAAAACAAAAGTGCATGTGATTGTTGTTATGATGACACTAGTTTATAGAAGCTGGTCTAATTGTAATCAATGATTTGAAAATGAAAACCAATTAAAATTATTTCTAAGGTAGAAAAGAAGTGAAGGATGAAGATACATTCTACCTCCTTTTTCTCAAGGTAAGTGCAAGTATATAGGTGAAGATTGTTCTGTAAACTGTTGTCAAGCCATAGGAAATTGATGTGATAATATCACATCAATGTGTAATATCACAGTTTTGTCTAATCACTTTAGGATTTTGACAGTCTTCTTTCTAGATATGTGACATCTCTAATATGTAGTTTGCAGAAATGCACAGTCTAACAGGCAAAAAAATATCTCTAGGCTTGTAAGTTTTCTGTTATTAGAAAGACTAGAGCTATTTTGATTATTGAGTTTTTAAAATTAAATTACATAATACATAGGAATGTATTGAACTTTTGGAAGCTAATTAACAAATCTTACTCATCCATTTCTTTTCTAAAGCTTGCAGCAGCATCTGATGTTTTTGTGGAAAACTACATCCCTGGGAAACTGGCTGAAATGGGTTTAGGTTATGAAGACATTAAAAATGTTGCTCCTCACATAGTGTACTGTTCAATAACAGGTATTTTTTTAAAATTATGTTCAATTATTTTCAATTGTGTTCATTATTTCCTTTATTCCAGTCAAAGTGTTAAAAAAGTCATACGGTTACTTAGAATTATGTTACTTTGATGTCAGTTAAGATAAATTGAAAGATAGTGAGTTTGTTCAATTCAAAAGCAGGTATAGAAAAACTGGGAGGCAGCAACCATGTCAACAGCTTACAAGTTGTTCAGTGACGTTACCATGCCACCCTTACATGTTCCTACTGATTTTGAAGGAGCTAGGATTGACTGGCCTCTCTGGATTTTGCTTTGAACTGGTTGAAAACTCAGATTTCTTTTTTTTTTTTTTCCCCTCCCAGAAGTTCTGCTGAATCTGTTTACATATTGCAGGTTTTAAATCTGGTAATCTCAATGTTCTTTACTGCTCTGAAGTCTCTCTCTCTTCAGAATTGTGCAGTTACATGTTCATGGTAGCCTTACATGACTTTGCTGCAGTCTACTGCCTGGTAACTGAAATGGTGGAAGAGTTGTAGGTACTTTAAAAAGCTGGGAAGAATGAAAAGAAAACAGACATATGAATATCAGGAACTGCATACATCTAAAAATAATTTTAAGTCTGTAAAAACACTTAAAAACTTCAGTGAAAATCAACTCAAAAAAATTTCGATTAACTACTAGAATTAAAGTTCTAATATTACAATGAAATTAATGTAAAACAAGTTACAGATATATTTAGATGGTTTTTTATATGGGTTTAAAATCTTAGTTACGAACCTGTTATGCCTCTGAATTTCTGAAGAATAAATGGCTTTGGCTTTTTAGTTACTGGATATGGATGTAATTTAATCAAAATTCAAATAACTTTTTAGTCTCTTGTGATGTATTTATCATGTTTGTGTGGCAAATGTCTGAAGATGATGAGCAGTTATATGCAGGGCTTGCTGAGAATCTTTGAATGCATGTTTATGTTGGTCAGTGGCTAGTTGCCACAATATCTTTCACATTTGTTTGTGCATATAATCACACAACTGGAATTTTTTTAGGTGGTTTTTTTGTTTGTTTGGTTGGTTTTTTTAGTTGTTGTACCCATAATGATGAAAAATTATAAAAATTACATGCAAGTGACAGTCTATATGAGGTAGCTTGGCCTTTGATTCTGGCCAGGACAGGGTTAAATTTTGCAGTAGCCAGGAGGAGGCATGACTATGACACAGATGTTATTCTATACCACCTCAGGTCACATGCAGGGGATGGGGGAAGGGGTCCCTTCTGGTTGAGTAAGTGTGGTGGAGGGGAGGGGTCAGGTAGTGCCGGTTCCCTCTGTTATTGATATTGTAGCTGTTACTGTTTTCTTCTCTCATTGCTGTTTCCAGTAAATTGTTCTTATCTCAGACCCCGGTCTGTACTTTTTGTGCCTTCCCCATTGCAGGGGAGAGGGAGGGAGGATGGGAGTGAGTGAGCAGCATGTGGTTTGGAGTGTTTCGGTGGGAACACTAAACTGGGGAATACCGTTCCTAAACCACAACACTCTCTCATCATATGTTAGATGCTCCAGTCTCTTAATGACTTTTGTGACTCTCTGCTAAACTTACCTCAGTAAGTCCACATCTGCCTTGTACTGGGGAGCCCAGAGCCATGCACAGTACTACAGGTGTGGCCTCACCAGCACTGAGAAGAGGGGAAGGATGTCCTCCCTTGATGTGCTCATGATATTCTTCTTAATGCATCACAAAATACTGTTGTTCTCCTCTGCTGAAAGGATGCATACTTTTAGATGTTCCGTTTAAGTGCTCCCTAACTTTCTCAACTGAGGGTAAGTCTTCCTTGATGCAGAATTTCCCTCTAGTCTCAGGGATCTAGGACACCTGAGAGCCATCTTTTCTGGTAATCCTGAGGCAAAAAAAGCATTAAATACATCTGCCTTCTTCTAGTCCTTTGTCTGTTCTGCAGTAGGTCCATGTCTTCCCTAGTCTCCTTTCTGCCGCTGATTTGCTTGCAGAATCCTTTCTTGTTGCCTCCTATGTCTTCTGCCAAATTCAACTCCAGGTCAGCCTGGGCTTTTCTAACCATATACTTTTATGACCACACAACACCTCTATACTTCTAAGTCACTTGCCCCTGCTTCCACCTCTTGCAAAACAAATTGAACAAAGATCATGTAATCTTGCTGTTTAGAGCTTTGTGTAATACATAACTTTCAGTTATGTTATACATAATGGAAAACACATAAAGATTGAAAAATACATCAATAAAGATTATTTTTTATTTATTCATGGACTGTGATAACTTGAGGTTGAAGGTGTTTGGGAGGTAACAGCTAAGTGATGTTTGTCAGGGATCTGTAAAGCAACTTGGATCCTAAATTATGGTTGCTTAAATCTTGGACACCCAATAGGTGACAAGGCACACCCATTTTAGGATAGTTCATCTTTTGGGAATAAAGGCACAAAGTCTAATGCCCTTAATGGATTTCTGATCTGACTTTTTTTTTTTTAAGTCAAGGCAGGAGTTGACAAAACTTCAATCTAAGCATATTAAAAGAAGCGACCAGACTAGGACCAAATGTATGTCTGTGACAGAGAGGGCATGATGGTTTTTTTGGGACAATCAGGTGGAAAACCTGTCTAGGAAGAAAGAATTCCTGATTGATTTTTAAAAGCTCTGTGACCTAATTCTAGATATTACAATTCAATAACTTTTTCGTACCTTTTTTTTTTTTCAAGGGAGGCAGGAAGACGGGAATAGGTACTAGGCTCTGGAACTTGAGGGTCAGGCAAATAGTGAAGGTGAAGATCTATCTGGAGCAAGTCAATCAACCAGACACATTACAACTATGGCTGTTAAGAAATAAAGAAGGATAATTATTGTAGGTCCCTCCCTTCTGAGGGAAAATGAATACCCTGTATGCTGACCAGACCTATCCCACAGGGACATCGGCAGCCTCCCTGGGGCCTGGGTAAGGGATATTACTAGAAGATTCCCTGGACTGATTCGACCCACCCTACTTCCGGGTGTCCAGGTTGGCAGTGATGAGGTTGAGGAGAAAATCCTAGGACAGTGAAAAAGGCCTTCAGGGAACTGGGATGACTGGTTGAAGGGATAAGAGCACAGATGGTGTTTTTTTCAATCCTTTCAGTAACAGGGAAGAGTGCTGAAAGAAACAGGAGAACCAACCTGATCAACACATGGCTTAAAGACTGATACCATTGGTGTAGTTTTGGCTTTTTCGAACATGGAACAGTTTATACAGCACCAGGCCTGACGGAGACCAATGAGACTTGCCTCTGTAAGAGGGTGAAAAGTATCCTAGCCCATCAGTTGACAAGGATGATTGAGAGGGCTTTAAACTAGGTTTGAAGGGGAAAGGTGATAAGACCAGGGTCACTAGAAATTAGCCTAGAGGAGGCATGCCAGAGTTGGGGATGAAATCAATAGCACAACTGAAGTGAATCTACACCAATGCACACAGTGTGGGTAACAAACAGGAGAAGCTGGAGGTCATTCTGCAGCAGGAAGGCTATGATGCAATTGCCTTCATGGAAACGCAGTGGGATGACTCACAAGACTGGAGTGCTACAATAGGTGGCTACAAGCACTGCAGAAGGGTCAAGTGAGGAGGAAGAGGCAGTGGGGTGGTTTTGTATATTAGGGAGTGTTTCAACTGTTTAGAGCTTAAGGATAGCGGTGATAAGGTTGAGTGTCTATGGGTAAAAATCAGGGACGGCTAGCAAGGCAAACGTCGTGGTGAGAGTCTGTTATAGACCACCCAACCAGGATGAAGAGGCACATGAACTATTCTGTAAGTGGCTGGCTGATGTTTCACAATCACTAACCTTGTTCTTATGGGAGACTTTAACTTGCTGGATGTCTCTTGGAAACTCAACACAGCACAGAGGAGGCAGTCTAGGAGGTTCCTGGAGTGTGTGGAAGATAAATTCCTGATGCAGCTGGTAAGTGAGCTTAGCAGCGGTGGTGCCCCGCTAGGCCTGCTGTTTACAAACAGAGAAGGGCAGGTGGGAGCTGTGGTGGTTGGAGGCTGTCTTGGGCACAGCAACCATGAAATGACAGTTTTCAGTTCTTAGTGAAATAAGGAAGGGGGCCAGCAAAAACTCTATCTTGGACTTCCAAAAGACAGATTTTGTCCTGTCCAGGACACTGGTTTGGAGAGTCCTTTGGGAAACAGCCCTTAGTAACAAAGGGGCCCAGGAAGGCTGGACATACTTTAAGAAGGAAATCATAAAGACGCGGGAGCAGGCGGTCCCCATGTCTTTAAGCTGTTGGGAAAGAAGACTGGCCTGGTTGAACAGGGAGCTTTCACTAGAACTCAGGGGAAAAAAAGAGAGTTTATCATCTTTGCAAGAAGAGGCAGGGAAATCAGGAAGAGCACATGAGTTGTTAGGTCGTGTAGAAAGAAAATTAGAAAGGTGGAAGCTCAGCTAGAATTTAATCTGGCCACTGCTGTGAAAGATAATAAAAAATGTTTTTATAAGTACATTAACAACGAAAGGAGGAAGATCTCCAACCTTTACTGGTTGTGAAGGGGAACCTTGTAACCAAGGCTGAGGAAAAGGCTCTGGTATTTAACACCTTCTTTGCCTCAGTCCTTAACAGAAAGACCAGTTATCTACCTGAGCTGGTAGACAGGGACAGGGAGCAGAATCTATCCCCTGCAATCCAGCAGAAATTAGTTAAGTGACCTGCTGTGCCGCTTAGACACTCCTAGTCCGTGCGTCTGGATGGGACTCACCCTAGGATATTGAGGGAGCTGGCAGAATAGCTCAGCAAGACATTCTCCATCATTTGTCATGAGTCCTGGCAAACCGGGGAGGTTCCAGATGGCTGGAGGTTGGCCAGAGTGACGCCCATCCACAAGAAAGGCCAGAAGGAGGATCTAGGGAACTACAGGCCTGTCAGCCTGACCTCGGTGCCCAGGAAAGTTATAGAACAGATTATCTTGAGTGTGATTACACTGCATGTACAAGACAAACAGGAAACAGGCGTAGTTACCCTGGGTTTA